GCAAACAGCACCCAACTCTGACCTCCTTTCCTCCAGAGCCCAGTATCTAAGAGTCAGGGAGAGTATATGCTTCTGCATTTCCATCCTTTTTCTTAAAGTGAAGATAGAGCTAACATTTCAGACTTAATTCCAAATTATTACTGTGGCAACAATTTAACATTAAACGCTAAAAATGAACTTTGCCAGGCTCTACTATCACTCAGTCCTCCTCCCAGACTTGAAGAAGCCTTCAGCACAAACACCAGACAAAAACTTTTTTCCTACAATTATCTTTTTCTTTTTTCTTTTTTTTTTTTTGAGGAAGGTTAGCCCTGAGCTAACTACTGCCAATCCTCCTATTTTTGCTGAGGAAGACTGGCCCTGAGCTAACATCCATGCCCATCTTCCTCTACTTTATACGTGGGACACCTGCCACAGCATGGCTTTTGCCAAGTGGTGCCATGTCGGCACCAGAGAAGCGGAACATGTGAACTTAACCCCAGTGCCACTGGGCCAGCCCCCTACAATTATCTTACAGCAGGAGAGATCAGGAAGGCCTGAGGGCATGGGTGCAGACCTTCAGGAATCATCTCGATTTTAAATACGGTCTCCACCCCTTGTGAGTATACCCATAGTTGCAGCCTCTTACATCTTGATGTTTGGCTCGGAAAACTGAAAAATAAAAAACGTAGAACAAGATCCAAATGAGAGTGGCCTCAAGCAGAATTTTTATGAATGTTGCTTCAAATACTAAATATTGCACACATCTTGGTTAAGAGATAAAAATCATTATTCTCTAAGAGAAGGAAGAATGCTCAGAAATCTGTGCTAAATCTTAAGCAAAGACTTTGCACGAGAGGAAAATCAAGCTCAATGTCAGTTAACAAGCAAATGTGTTATTTCAAAAAATAGAAAACAAGAAATCTAGAAATGGACAGAGCCCAGGAAATGGACCCAAATCCTTTTTTGTAAAGCCCTTCCAAGCAGTGTTGATGTATTTCAGCTTAACTAGAAACCAAACAAATTAGCAATAGCTTGTCTTTTACGAAATGCTACAAAAAGACAATACTATCATTCTAAGTGTTACTCTGAAGATACAGAACCAGAGAAATCACTGCCATGGATCTTGGTGCGGTCATTTTCTCCCAAAGCCACCAACGCCCTGGATTCACTCTTTTATATTCCAAACTGTCCATGTTCCTAGAGGCAACAGGAGATTGCCTTTAAGTTAAAGACCCCTAAAAACATTTATCTAACTTGAGTAACGCAAGGGTCAAAAAGTAGTTAACATTTTTTAAGTTTCAAAATTTCAAAAGAAGTTTAAAAACACAAGAAAAATGCTCCAGTGGACAGACTGAAACAGCAATAAAATCATTATAAAAATAACTGTTAAGAGTAAAGAAAAAGAAAAAAATAGAAACTGTCCTCATTAACTAATGAATCTGACAATTATAATTAGTTTCTGTCTAACAGCAATGAAAAAAGAAAAAAATACATTTCAAAATGGATTATCAAGAACAGGGGTAATTCAAAATGACCACACAGCAAATATTCCAGGAAAAATACTGTAGCAATATAATACTTACCAGTCCTCCTCTAAATTTCAACTGTTCTGTTAAGCTTAAAAGGTAAAGTCACAATTTTCCACAGATTGATGATCCCAGGAAATGGGTCATCAGTTAGGTACTAAAGAAGTAATCATCTTCTTTGTAGTCAAAGGACAGTTGAGTTCCCTGGATGTTTAGACCCTCAGAAAAGAAAGAGTCACCTGACTTTTACAAGATACAACCAAGTCTGCATGCAAAAAGGAAAGATTAATTCCTTTGAGTCTTAAAAAAGAATGGAACAATACTTTCCTTTAAGCAAACCAATTTTGTCAATCTATAAAGGCTTTCCATGACAAAGCCCTAGGAAGCCTTAAGGCATCTTGGCCCCCTGCTATCAGAGGGCTGAGGGAGGACAGCGAATTTGCCAAACTCCAAGACCAGGAACGTAAGCCTATTAGGGAGTTGGGGGTTGATAAATATTTGCTGAATGAGTAAACTAGATGAAAGCATGGAAGACTAAATTAAATGCTAAAGAGCCTAAATGAAATGCTACTCTGAAGTGTAAATGCAATGCTGAGATTTAGAAAGATAGGACTGAATGTGAGGGTTATTTTAAAATAGGATCCACTGGACCCTAACTTGGTAAATGAAATAAAGTTAAGTCCATACTTTCTGACACACAAGAAAGGAAACTGGCCTACAAAACTGCAAAGATTGAAACCTTTTTTAAAAGTCAGTTTAACTGTTTTTCCAAGCGTGTTAATTCTTAAATATTGTTCACATTACATTTACAGGTATGAGTGTCCATAGACACATCACACCTATACCAGACAAACAGACTTCTGAACCATTAATAAGCTAAAATATAAGCCTCTGAAGAACACACGGGAATAGAAATGCTGTTACTCAGGATAACAATCCCTTATTGTCTTGCACTTGGAAGATGTTAATGAAAAATGATAATGACAGGATTGTGAGTGCATCAACGTCCCTGAGAACAAAGTCACTATATCCAGTTTTCTATAAAAGACAAATGATGGTCATTACAATAGGATTCACAGTGCATCTCTCTGGACTCCCAGTTCTCCTAGATAATTTGAAATATTACTCAAAGTACACAAAATCATTTTACATACACTTCTTAAGGAAAATAAATGGAAAAACCCCACATATGTGTGCATTTAATATCTGTCCAGCCACCAGAGAGTTCTTGACATACATCCAACATACAGGCCCAGTCCTCAAGTTCATTCTTAATCAGTTGAAACTAAACCCAGTTCTCTACTGTAAATTCAAAAAGCAACCTGATTATTTTGCTAGATAAAGCCACATTTTCCATTTCTGAAATGTATGTTTAATACCCTAAAAACTGGCTTACTTGCCTCACAGACATCAACAGTGTTCTGCTCCCCCTATTGGCTAATATTCAAAATAACAATGAATTCCCCAGGGGCCGCCTTTTGAAGTGCAGGGGTTCAAAAGTAAGTTGGTGATTTTTATATCTAAAAAACATGAGCTGGATCAACAGTTGTTAAGCAAAGCTGCCATGTAATGGTCAGATTCCATCAAAACAGGAAAAATTAAAGTGGACGGATGACAAAGACAAACTGAAGGGCTGAAAATATGCTGAAGCCTTGAAACACTAAACAATGCAGAATTAAAGCCAAAAGCAGAGAACACTGAGAAACAGAGCAACATCCTTTAACTGACACAATGGCATGAAATCAATTTCACTTTAATAGCCCTTAAGGGGGTAAGAATTATTTCCCTGCCTCCTGTGCCAACCCCAAGCTGTTTCCTAAGGAAGCCAAGTAATGCTGACCAGCAATGTCTGGAGAATTCATCAAAGAAATTAAGAATTAAGATCTGAATTAATTAATACAAACCACAGTTCTACTTATAATTACTTGGAGCCAGTTTCAGAGGTGCTGCAATTTGGCACTCCAGAAAGGATATCACCTAAATTAATCACAGGTACCTTATCCCTGTTTCAAGAGAGATGTGTTCAACTCACATGGGAAGCTGAACCATGGGAGAAAACACTCGGAATCTGATGCACTTGCTGCTCTCTGCTGAGTGCCTAAACCAGCTCTGGAGAGAGACGGAACCAACAGAAAGTTCTATGTACAACCTGGGCAAGGAACTAACCTCTAGGATCTTATCTGTACAATGGGGCTATTAAACTGTTTTTACCGCAGAGTTGGTGTGAGGATTCAGTGTCCCTAAGGCATTTAGGAGAGTGTCTGGCACGCAGTTTGGGTTCAATAAACGTTAGCTATTATTATTATTATTACCAGAAAGAAATGGTTAATTCCACACTGAAGTAACTGTTAGCAGCCTAAAGTACCACTTCAGGAAAAATAAAAGGTCTGGACACGTGCTTTGCTACTTGTACAGACTTCTCTTCCTCCCAAACCGCTCACTTACCTTTCTTGGAAGGGAGAAGGAGCTCAGAAAAAAACCTGATTCCCCGTGTCAGTCTGACCCTCCTACCGTCCCTGGCCTCGCCGCTCCTCCCCGGTCGCCGCTGGGCTCCCAACAAGCAGCGCTAAGGGCCGCGCAGCTGCTCGGCGCCAGGCACTGTTCTAGTGCTTTACATAAACTCAATCATTCTATCCTCACAGCAACCTTACGAGGCATGCACTATTATTCCCATTTCGCAACTAAGGAAATGGAGCGATTTTCTTCTGTCAGCTCTTTTTGTAGACACTAAACCCGTAAATTCTACTCTGTCAAGGTAATTCATACTTGACAAGCCGGCTCCCTACTCTATGTCACTCTGGAAAGTGGGGCAAATGCCCTAATAAGAAGAAGGCTGCAACCAGATTCTCTAGCAACAGTCCACGACTTCGAAGCTTGTTTTAACTACGTGAACATGCTAAGAGAGGCCTTCAGAATAAACTGGGTGAGGCGGCTAGCAAGCTCAGGGGGTCGCGCCTGGCGGGGACCCCACGCTGCAGCGCCCGGCGCCGCCCGCACAGCCCCCGAGGGCGCGGCCGGCCGGGAGCGCAGCGCACGCTGGTGCGCGAGCGCCGGGGCCGCAGCCTCTGCAGCGGCAACTGTGCAAACCCACAACAAACCTTTCCCACCGCCGCTGTCACGCGCCCCGTGGGAAGGGGGCGACGCGCCCCGCTGGGGTCAGGAGAAACTGCGGAGAGGAAGAGTGAGGGCAGGCGCGGAGGAGACGTCTTCCCCCGCACAGCTCATCGCCCCGAGGCTGCCCCCCGGGGGCGGCCACTCCCCACGCACCGCGGGTCCCGGCTGCTTGGAGCGTAAACACTGTCGGACCGAAGCCGCCCCCGCAAGCCCGGGGGTCCAGGAGGCTGGAGCGACCCCGGCCTTGCAACAGGCACGGAGTCCCGCGCAGCGCCGACAGGCACCGCGCAGCCTGCAGAGCCCGCGCCGGGACGGGTGCTGGGCTCGTAGGGGCGTCCGGGCACGGGCTGCAGCGCCGCAGGGTCGGCCGGCACGTACCTCGGAGGCGGTGTGTCAAGCGGAGATCCACCCGCCGCCCGCTGGAGGAAAGCGGAGGAAAGTTTCCCCGCCCAGCGCTCGGCGGCGGCGAGCTCAGGCAGCTGCTGCGCCGCGGCGCAACTACGCCATCCGGACCCGCCGGGGACTTTCACCTCCTGCAGGGAGCTCCGGGAATCGCGCAGGGAAAGTGGCTGGGCACGGGAGCCGCCGACTTCCCTCCCTCACTCACTGGGAAGAGGAAAGCGCCGCTCCGCGTCCCCGAAACCCTCGATTACCCCCATCGGGCCGACCCAGCGCACCCGCTCTGCCTCACACGCGGGCGGGGACGGGCAGGGCGCCACAGCAATCAGCGCGCGGGGGGAAGGGCGCTCCTCCTCCGCGTCCCCACCGAGGGCTCCGGGCCGCCGAGAAACTCCTCCTCCCGCCGCCCGCCTCCTCTCTCCTCCCCCTTTTCCTCCCGGGCCGATGGATGAGCCCCGAGCGCTGCTCGAGCCAGCGTTTCCCTTCGGACCGAGGAGGGAGGAAGAGAAGGAGCGCGCGGAACCGCCGGGCTGCTGCGCGCCCGGGTTGGGGCGGCGGATGGGGGTCCCAGTCCTCGGAGAAGAGCGCGGGGGTCGCAGGCGCGGGCTGTAGGGATTCGCTCCTTCAAACGAGGTCCTCTGAACTTTCCAGGGCTCTCTGGAGGAGTGGGATTTTTATTTGGTTCCCTCTGTCTTGCTACAAAAGTTCTAAAACCTTCAGTAATCTGATCACCCCCCTCATGCCCACTCCCTAGCAAAGCCCCCCCACGCACACATTTATTCTTTCCCTGGTTGTTTTTCCCACCTCCAGTCCTGCCTGTTATCTCAAGATGCGCTCTGATGGTGGGCTCCCGCGGGGTCTTGCCTCCTCCTCTTTAACAGCTGAGCGTGCATTACCCAGCCGTTCGTCCTGCTCGCTAAATACGTTAATACAAATAAAGGAGCTAGGTCAGCATGACTGGCGTTACCCTACGGTAACGCCTACGGTTGGCGCGATATAAACGAAGGTGTTGGTGGCCGTGCGACTTCCTGCATACAGGTGCGTGGGAACCTGTAAGAGTTGCTAGAGTTGACGGCTACAGTAATCAGAACACCACTTTGATACTCCTGTTTACACCTCGTTTTTGTAGTAAAAGATATGCTTAAATCACAGGATACTGTTTTACCAACAGGCTGGTGAAATGACCACGGGCTGACAGGTTTCAGAGACCAGACTTCAGTCCTAACTCTGCCCTTAGACTGGCTCTGGGACCCTGGACAAACGGCTTAAACTCTCCAAGTCCGTTTTCTTCTCTAGAAAATGAGGAGCTTGGCCTAGGAGACCTCTTCCGGTTCTGAAGTGTTAAGGTCCTAGGCCTTTACTATGTTGGAGAGTGGAATGGGGGGGTTCTTATATTATTACATATTATTATTACTTGGAAAGTTATTGGATTTTCTTTCTTTGAGAGAAGAGGCAGTATTTCTCATCCTTTTTCTCTTGTACCTATACATAGAGAATGCACCCAATTGGAGATTCTTTCTTTTTTGAGGAAGATTAGCCCTGAGCTAATGTCTGCCGCCAATCCTCTTTTTGCTGAGGAAAAGTGGCCCTGAGCTGACATCTGTGCCCATCTTCCTGTACTTTATATGTGGGACCACAGCATGGCTTGACAAGCGGTGCCATGTCCTCACCTGGGATCTGAACCAGCGAACCCTGGGCCACGAATGTGCAAACTTTGCTGCACCACTGGGCGGGCCCCAATGGAGATACTTTCACAAAGGTCAAATTGTCATTGATCTCCTGGATTACTGCAGAAACTTCCTCAATGAACCATTCATTCCTTACCAGTATTTATGGAGCACCCACTGTGTGAGAGGCTTGGCCCAGCTTGGAGATGCACACAGGCTCAGAGGCTGAAGGAACGAGCAGTCTGGGTGGAGTAAGCCTCAGCTATGATGTAGTTGATTTCTCATAGACTCAGATTACATAATATTCATGCCTTAAATTGTCAAGTTTTAGCTTCAAGTGCAGACGTGAACACTTGAATTGGGTGTGAATATTTAATCCTCCATTTAAATGTATCATGTTAAGGCTTTCTCATTTCTCAATAAAATGGCATGGTAGAAGAAGAGAGAGAAAAACCAAGTCCTAGATAATTTAGGAGTGTTTTGTTTTTAAAGAGTGATGAAGTGACTGTTCACAATGAAGCCGCATTCTCAACAGTGGAACGGTCAACATCTATTGAACAATTACTCTGTGCCAGGCAGAGCCCTAAACATTCCACACATACAAACACATTTACTTCTCACAGCCCTTCAAGGCTATACATAAACTGAGCTCTATGTACAAACCCAAGTATTTAGTGAGGCCTTATAACTTGCCAAGATAGTAGAGCTAACATGCGGGAGGGCCAGGATTCAAACCCACCTCCATCTAGCTTTGAGGTCAGGTCAACCGCAGGGACATACTACCTGTCACCAAAAGCCTTACAAATTGGCAAAATGAAAGGTTTGGGGGAGTTTCGTTTGGTTGGTTGATTGGGCTTTTTTTTTTTTTTTTTTTTGCAAAATGTCTTTAAAATTCAGGGCTATTTAATTAGTTTCAGTAGAAGATATGGAAAAACACAAGAAATTACATCAGTATTTACCAAACTAACAATGTCTACAGAGGTGTTTTCTCTTTAAATCTTTATGCTAATAATGTGATATTGCTTGCAGAAATCCAGACACCTAAACAAAGGTTTAAAATACAATTTTTGGTCCCCCTGCAAAGCTCTAGAAAAAGAATTCCCTTGCCTTTTAAAATTAATGGCAATATTAACTGATTCCTAGGGGGATGAATCCTCTCCTTTCATTGGTTTCTTATGAATTAGGACTGTGTTCAAGTTATAGTATTTGTCACCGTTAGATACAAGCTTCCTTTGGTCCAAGATGGCATTTTGGTTATTTGTTCTGAATTCTTTCCAAAAAAACTGTAAGCAGGGGATGAAACAAAGAGGTGCACTTTATCTCACTTTCGTGAAAACATTTGACAGCAGAGTCTCAGGGATTTACTGAAGCTGTTTCTCACAAGGAGTCACCCCTCCTATAGATGCAAGAACCACTCATTTATAACCACTCATATTTCGTGGCATGTCTCCAGATTCTGTTGATTAGCAGACAACCGAACAAATTCATAATAACCTGTTTATGTTCCTTACCGAAGCAAACACCTCAAATTTCTGAAAGCCTCTACTATTAGAAAGTCATTTGATGTTTTTCTTTTTTAACAAGTCCTCATACAGTACTTAGCACGTGCTTTGCACATTACTAATTCTAACTCATTTAATCCTTGTAACAGCTCTATTTCCCTCATTTTGCAGATTAGAAAATGACGTACAGAGAGGTTAAATAATTTGCCCAAAGTCGCACCCCCAGCACGTGGCCGAGCCAGGTGCTCGGCTCCGGCGTCTGCTCGGAACCTCCATCTCGCGCTGCAGCAGGTGACAGTGAGCCCCTTTCTACTCATAGAGTCTTATTTTTTTAAAGCTCAATTCTTTAAAAGTTTCAAAAGATAAAAACAAAAGTTTGTTTAGGGGAAATATTACCCCCCCCCCCCCCCCCCCGCCACACACACACCCACATAAAAATAGATTGCTTTTGCCCAGTAAAGAGGGGAAGAGGGACACTAACTTTAAAGTTTGGCTGAAACAGCCAACATCTTGGAGGCAATTGCATAACTACTCTGAAGAATGTGTGACAGAACATGAACCAAATGTTGTTCCAAAATTGTTGTGACAGGATGCCAGTCTACAAACTACAGTAATACTCCTATTTTCTGCTCTGTTGACCTATTATTACAGATAGATTTACTATTTATTTCTAAAATTCACCCATAAACATTCCAATTCATACCTGTAGGTGTCTTATATTCACCATAATCTAAGGCCAGAATCTAAAGCCACATTTTCTACATCTATATCCAAGATTTGAATTTGGTTTTCACTGATAAAATCTGCAGCTGGCAAATTTCAAATGAAAGTGGAAAAAGTACTATCAGATGAACCTGGATGCAGAGCAGAACCCAAAACAGACACCTGATTCAGGCCTGGGAGATTCCTCAGAGAATTTGGAAATACCAGTCCAAAGCAAATTCCCTTACAGTAACCACGAGTTCCTGTGAACTTGTCATTTCCTGTACCTATGAGGAGCTTCCAGTGGAGATTTCCACAGGGCACCTTCAATTTCCCCCTCAGCAGGGCTGCTGACAAAGCAGGAAACCTCCTTCCATTTCAAAGTAACTGCAACGCCCCCTGAGATCTTGTGGTTCAGCTCCGTGGGGGATGTGGCAGAGCCTCGGAGCTCCCTGCCTCAGTGGGGATTCCAGAGGGAAGCCTTCGCCCCGGCCCCCACCACCAGGGCTGCCCTACAGAGGACTTATGTTTCGGCCTGAAGAAGAAAAAAGAATCAGGAACCATGATGTTATTTTGTGTCCAGGAGGACCAAAAATAGATGAGGAGCACCCAGGACACGTATTAATATCTGTGAATGTTACAAATCTCATTGCCTTCATTTTAACAAATACAAGAAATGCTGGAACTCTGCTTCTAAAAACACCCAAATTTAAAAATTATTATTGCTATTGTTATTGACCCTCTGTTATTGTTGTTGTTATTATATTACCCTTTATTGAGCACTTACTATGTGCAAGGCCTTGTGTAAGTTTGGCTTATAAAATTTATTTCGTAACATATTTTGAAAAAGGGTGTTTCCATGAATTTGTTATAAAATTAGCTGCTATAACATTTCTTTAGGTCACCCGCTATTCTTTTAACATATAACCTAAGGAGAAGGAGAATTTCTCAACTGGATCCTGGAGACATACTCTTTAGAATTCACTAGTGAGTTCAATAAGAAATGTGTTTTCATTTTGTATTTTTGTTTCAATGATGATCTTAAAAAGCAATCTTTTACCCTCCTTTATTTGGGAGGAGGGGGCAGGTATAGTTAAAAACCGACAGACTTTCTCATAATAAAAGACTTCAGTTTCTTAAGTCAGTGTTTTTCAAAGTGGGAAACTTATTCCCAGGGGCCTCTAAAATTTCTTTAAAAATAGTCCTTAAATTAACATTTGAGAAATGTGCATAAAATTTTTAATTAAGATTTCCTTTAAAGTTTCCCCAGTTTACTCATACAATTTAGGCTGCTTTCTGGAAAATGTAGTTTCTTTCATGTTCTAAAAACTAATGAATATTTATTGAAATTTGCTAAGCCATATTAAGAGGTAAAAGATACATATAGAGGTGACAGGAAATATAACAAAAAGATAATTAAGGAATAGAAAAGTATTATA